AGCTTTGACGGCTGAACAACTAAACAAACCAGAATCAGTCATTTGTACTGCACTTGACTTCGACTTGTTCCTGTGACCAAATCACAGCCATAATGTTATTTGCTTGCGGTTGCTTTAACTCAGCAGGGGCTAATTTGTCCCTTTTAGCTTCCATTCATTAGATTTGTATTCCTTGCATTTTTCTTCTTGCCAGTTAGTTAACATAGCTGTATCGCTGCATGAACCAGTGTGTCTCTCTCTGCAGGTCTTTGAGAACTATGAAAAGCTGCTGCACTCTGAAAACTACGTGACGAAGAGGCAGTCGTTGAAGGTGAGTGTTCTGCAGAGTCTCACAGCATGGGTAACTTAAAAGGGAAACTGGTGTATCTCAGCCTTTGCCGACTCTGTCACTGAAATATGCGTGTGTCTGACAGCTGTTGGGAGAGCTCCTCTTGGACAGACACAACTTCACTGTGATGACGAGGTACATCAGCAAGCCGGAGAATCTCAAGCTCATGATGAATTTACTGAGAGACAAAAGCCCCAACATCCAGTTTGAGGCGTTCCACGTCTTCAAGGTAAAGATTTTGTTTTCTCTGGTTAGGTTGCTAAATCCTAGACTTGAACCCTGGGCCTATTATTGCATTATTTCAAAGGAAAAACTCAGTCAGCCAGTCATGGTTGGTGTTTAAAGCTTGCTCTTTAGTTTTGCGCTAATGAGAAATGGAAGCTTATACCCAAAAATCAGCACTGCGCAACCTTTTAAGTGATCTTAATAGACCTGCTTATGTAGTTTAAGACAGACTTATCTGTACAATGTGTAACATATTGTTATCTATACAAAAGTACTAACACAGTTGTGGCTGCCAGTACTTTTTTCTGGTTATGTGCCATGCTATAGTCATATTCCTTCCTTCCTTTCCTCCCTTCCTTTCTTCCTTCTTTCCTTCCTTCCTTCTCTCCCTCCTATTCCTTCCTTTCCTTTCCTTTCCTTCCTTCCTTCCTTCCGTCCTTCCCTCCCATGATGCAGAAAAGGCTTTTTAATTTCTCAAGTGTACCCTTACCTGTAGAGCTCCTCACCCTTTGTTAGGTGTCGGTACTTTGCTAACATTTTTGTATCTTTTCCCTCAGGTGTTTGTGGCTAACCCCAACAAGACGCAGCCCATCGTAGACATCCTTCTGAAGAACCAAACGAAACTCATCGATTTCCTTAGCAACTTCCAGAAGGACCGCACAGACGACGAACAGTTTAATGACGAAAAGACGTACCTCATCAAACAGATACGAGACTTAAAGAAACCAGCCTCCTAAACCTTAGCTAGCAATCGCGTTATTAAGCACCTCATCTTTTTACTGAGGAAAAATAAACGAAAAAAAAATCACAAAAATCTATTAACAATAATAATTATATTTAAAATCTTAAGACATTTGTCTTTTCTTAGTCACGAGGCTCGCGAGTGATAGTTTTCGATCACTGACCGTTCAGTTCTTTTCTTTTTAGCTTTCTTTCATGAGCATTTTTCATTAGTTTCATCTGACTAGTGTGCCACGATAGGATGTTAACAACAAAAAACAAAAAGCAACCAATTTTGTTTCAGGAAGAACCAAAGGTTGTAGTAACCTCAAGAGAAGTGGGTGAGTCAGGACCTAAGAGAACGCTTCACATTTTCATTTTAACATTCTGATTGTGTTTTCTGACAGCCTTTACCACTCCAAATACTGTTCAGACACCCACAGTTCCGACATGCTAAAGAAAGAGTTGCTCTTGTACATTTTGTAGACGATACCGGTAGAAGAATTGTAGGAAGGGAGGTTGCATTCCCCAATTATTTATAAAGCTTTTTTTAGAACTCCTTCTGTATTTAGAAAGTTCATTCCTGCATTCCTTTTATTCTTTTTCTACTCTATTTTTTCCCCTTTACTCTGAAGCTGTAGGCTACATTTTTCTCCTGCACCTGTATGGCTTACTGCTTACTGACTCTCTGGGCTCCGAATTTGCTTGATTTCTCGGGAAAAAAAAAATATTGTTCATGTAATCCCTTTTTAGTGTTTTTAAATAATTATTTTTAAGAATGATTTGATTATACCAGTATTTTATTTGTTAGGTTTCTAAATGAAACAGAAGCGCAGTTCATCTGACTGTGTGCTTTAGTAATATATAGACCTAACCAAATTTTTTTTGTTTTGAGTTATCAGATCATATGTTTGCAAAACAGGGCGTCTAACCTTCTCGTTCTCTATTTCTACTTGATGACATGTTTACCTATCGTGTTATTAAAAAAACTGGTTTTAGTCTGAAAGTGGGTGCCATTTTAGAGAATATAAGACAAAATGTACTTTGACATTTTCTGTAGTAGCTTCTTTTACAGTGAATGGAGGGAGCGTACAGAAAAGTTCGCTCTACAGGTATATGTCTCTTCTGTACTATAGGGCGCCATGTAGATGCAGCTATAGTATTTTGGTAGTACTGTAGTGCATTCAGTGCTATAGTATTCCTATAGCAGGTTTAATAGCCTCCTATAGGATCCATGTAGTAGCTTACTATAGTACATACTATATATTAGTATCTCACTAATACTATTGTACAATTTTACGTTGTAGTACAACCTGCAGTACTAGAGTCATTCTGTACTATAGCTTGTCTGTAGTACGACGGTAATCTTCTGTTCAGTAGCCATTATTTTAGCTCTTCGTTTGTGGATTTGGCAGGCGAGACATCGATTAGGTTCGTAGCTAAAACACAGTTGAGGACACGAACATACAAAACAGGTGCCTTTTGTTGTGTTTTAATTGTATTTCTTTTTTCCCTGGTGTTTATTTTGTATTTTATAAAAACAGATCTTTCTTAGGGGGAGCTTAATTTTGTTTTTTGTTAATTTTTGAAAAAAAATATGTTCAAGTTGAGCATATTTGAATCGATTAAGCAGTGAACCTCTTTAACTCACTATATTTGAGTTACGCTGATGAAGAAAACTTTGTTTCATTCTTTGCAGCTGCAGTTGATTGATTCAGTTGTATGATTGTCTGTGACCTAACCATTAGAGTAGTCGGATCAAGTGGGAAATGTATGCTGAGGTGGTCTCTGACCCATGTTATCATCACATATTACTTGCCAATTATGTGAAAATTAATGTTTTGTTTTTATATATATATACATGCTGATCTTTCACATTTTTCCATTTTTATGGTTTTCTCTGAAATTTTGAGTTTGATTATTACAGTTCTTTGTCCTTGAAAATAGACAAAAAACTGGACCGAATTTAAATTCAATGGGAGGAAAGGCCCAAACGTATTCATTGCCAAATCTTTATTCTGAAGAAGAAATTCAAACTGTCACACTGTTTGATTCCCTTCCTCATGCGTTAAGATTATTAAGATTGGTTTTTTTCAGTATTGCGCAGTGTAAAGCGAACCATGGAACATTTTAAACCCTCCAGTAGGGTAACCATTTAAATATAGTAATGCATCTGAGCCAAATTTATTGAGTATCTTCACACCTTTACATGTAACAAAGAAACTGCAGTTTAAAAATGAAATCGAAATGAGCTACCATATCAAAACTGAAATTGTTTCCCATACCACACATGGTTGCATCCTTTCTTCTTAAATGCTAATTGTACCATATCACCAATAAACGAAAATTCAAGCATTATGGTTAATGTTTTTTTTTTTTGTATGTGTACAAGATGTTGGTTCACATTTGAAGACATTTGTAATCAGTTAATAATAACAACTGTTATTATAGAAAGCCATGTATAAAGCAATGCTTCTTCACAGATGACTCTACTTGGCTTAAAGCCTCATGATGTTTTATAGTGCCTATGATGGGGTAAGAGTCATGCTTAGTGCGAGCGCACAACATAGTCATGTGCCGTTTGTTCTTTGAAGGTACAGTACAAACCTTGACTGAACTATGTCAGTTTAAATACCAACATGTACCGTTTCTCCACTTAGAATTTTAAAAGCTTATTGTTCATGTCTTTCAAATTATCTACTCAACTGGAATGATTTTCTTTCATTACAAGGTAAGGGTGGGCGGTATGGAAAATATTTTATACGATACAATTTCACGATACACAATATATTTTTTTTTGTTGTAACGGACAAAATGCACCAGCAAAACAGTGGTGCCATGTTTTAAAAGGGCTATGAAAGGCTGAATACACTTATTTTTGATGCTCAAAATTTGCTAAAATACGCTATGAAAAAAAGGAACAGGAGGAAATCACTCCGGGTGAGAATCAATAGAAGAAGAAGATGATGATGATGATGTCATCAGCTACTTGTTGCAGTGCAGTTCAGTGACTGTACAGGGGCTGCTGTTGTTTACAGACTCTATTCATAGTATTCGATTACATCATTAAGAAGAGCACGTCGCCATTTTGGTAGGCAAGCTGTGACTGTACTCTGATAGACTTCGTCTCATCACCGTTACTGCATTTACAGCCCTGCAAGTGGATATAAACAAAACAAAATAAACCGGAATGATCACTGAAAATTTGTAAAGACATGTGGACGCGTTAGATGCATTGTCCAGAAAACGCTACGAGGAGGTTAGCTAAATTCGTCAATCGGATCCGTATAACCTGCACATCTCGAGAGTTCAGAACATTCCAGTGTGATATTTTATAAAAACTAATAAAAGTGGCAACCAAAGCTCTTCAACTCTTGAGACCACTGGTGGTTCCAAAACGCACTTCATCATATTCTTCATAACTTTCATATTTCATAAGCTATATTCAAAAGGTGGGTGTCATATGAGAGCTGTAACTGTCTTCTTTCCAGTCAACTAGGTGGGTAATGTAATTTTAAACCTTTATATTAAAAGATGCTGAACTCAGAATTTTTTTTTGTCTACTGAAAGTCGACCCATTTTTCCACAAATCTGGACTATAAACTATAAACAGATGGTGTCTCTTCAGTGATCTGCTCTGTAAAAATGATTTTTATAAAAAGTGTCTAAGATTTTTGGCTTTCAGCAGTAAATTGCAAGCACACAGCAATATGTGTATGATCATAAAACACATGTTCTGTTAATTTGAGGGGAGCTTTTAAAAACAATAAAATTAAAATTTACATTTATTTCATGCAGTTACTGAATTATTTGCTTTACGATTTGGTCAATTGACCCTGGTCAATAAGAGGTTAAATAATAAACTCCTGCATATATATCAAGCTCAAGTTAGCTTCTTGTTCGCAACCGTCTCATTTGAATTTTCCGTTCTACCTTAAACGGTGCAGTCGAAAGTTGGCGAATAAGAAACTAACATCGGCTCACCACAATAAATCCTTAATCAACAAATACCTCACATTTTTGCTTGGAGGTGTTTAACTGTTACTGATCAGTTCATGTGCAGCACAGTGAAGCTATAGAATGAGCCACTGGAGCTTCTGATCGCTTCTCACTGGCTGATCTAACGCCGCGTCCCAAAACACACACTTCTGTATTTCATTTACTTCACTAATGAGTGCACGTCTAATGGAATATGTGCTATTTTTGCATTCAATTTAGTGTGTTAGTTTGCGGTTTGGGACGCGAAAATAATAGCGCACTGGGGTATCTCGGCCGTTTAGATCCGTTTGTCATCACTACAACCACAAATCAAATTAAAACAAGTCAGTACACTCAGACACACTGGTTAATGTGCTTTACAAATTTAAAATGTGTTTTAAAAAGCGCGTTACTGCATTTGCTGGGTCGGTTACGCTTTATTATCTCATTACAAACAGCCACAGCACCGCTGAATTAACTTGAAGTTGCCTACCAAAATGGTGTCAGCGCGACGGTGACGTCATCAGAATACTATCAATAATTGGTCTGAATCCTGTCTGTTTAATGATGTAAGCAGTTGTTCAGTGTTCTGGAAGTTGTGTCAATTTTTGTGATAATACGAAAAAGCACACTGTGACCTAATTAAGTACAATAATGATGTCATATCACCCACCCTTACTGGAAGGCTAAGGATGTAAACTCTGCATTGAATCTAAAACATAATACTTAACAGCCGGTTAAGTATTAAGGTTAAATGAGGTCATTTCCTCTGAGAGCTCAAAGTGTTTTCAGGTTAACATGGCTTGAGTCTTGTTGCCAATGGATGGAGGGAATGGTTGTGAAATTTTCTTCATGTTCTCAGTCTCTTACTGCACTGGCAGTCGGATTCCTCTTGTAGTCTGTGTTTCAAGCAGCCGTCTGCAAATTAAAAAAAGAGTGAAAGAAGAACAGAACACCCATTTGTCTAAGGGAAAAACCACAGGTCCATAAAAATGTTCTTAAAATGTTCTATTAAATTTAGTCGTTCGGCCAGGTAATATGGCCGACTTCTAACAAAACAGCTGAACATTCCAAATTTTCCAAATTCCAGATTTGATTGTGAAAGTATGAAAATTACATGTAATCAGAAAATTCTGAAAAATGGGTCCTGTTAGTTGCTCTTGCAGTGTGTAACTATATTCATAACCGTTTCATCACAAATTCTGTGGCATTTTCTTTGTCATACTATATGTAGCTCCAAAATGAAATCGTCACATTAACTCCCAATAAAAATTAAGAAAGTTTTTCCTGCTTCTGTAAAGTTACCATTTTGCAGATACAAAGTTTTGTTCCAACAGGAAAGATTTGCTCAAAAAATAGAGAATTGTGAATATTCTGAAATACTGAAACCAGTTTTACAGCAAATAAATTCTTACTTGGTAAAGGTGGTGCAGCTTCTTCAGAAACATTTCTAGCCAGAGACGACTTCTGCCACTGAGAAAACACAGTAGTCACTATTAACTTTTACGTATATTGCAAGTCAGGTCTGTTCAGGTGGTTGGATTCAGGTATTGTGGTCCGTAAGGTCATATGGTAATACAGGACAAGGCTTGTGCAACAAGCATGTCATAAAATGACATTTTCTTTTCAATTCATCTCTAAAAATCTATTTTCAATATTTTTTTTTTGTTCCTTTAGAGAAAACACATTAGCATCAGTCTGGAATAAACGAGTTTCTTAAAGTCCCATATAACCTGATGGCTCTATGATACCTGAATCCAGTGTAAAGAATAAATAATCATGCCTCTTGAGTAAAATAAACAAACAGCCTGTTAGATTTTCATTTAGAACATAATTAGTTATAAATTCAAACCAACTTTACTACAATCATTAGTAAATGATGTATGTTTATAACGATATTAAAGGGGAATTCCACTACTTTTTCAAAGTTTCTACGTAATTCAAATGTTGCTATGTAAACAAAGTAATTACTATGGCTTGATTAGAAATGGTGCATTATAGTGAACCTTACAAACTCATATTTCTTCACAGTGGTGGTGAAAAGAACAAAGGGCCGTGACAACTATGACACAAGTTTTTACATGTAATGAAAATAACTGATTCTTTAGGTACTATTTTTGCCGTACATCTCCCTACATGTACTTCTCTCCCATGAATGTATTTTTAAAATTTCAAAAATATGCTCTATAGAAGGGTGGTGCAGAGGGTAGCGCTGTCACCTCACAGCAAGAAGGGCCTGGGTTCGGGCAACCAAGGTTCTTTCTGTGTGGAGTTTGTGCTTGTGACCATATATGTCTGTGTGTCTGCTCTGCAATGGGCTGGCCTGCCTTTTGCCCAATGACCACTCCAGCACCCCCTGCGACCCAGAAGGATAAGCGGCTTAGAGTGTGTGTGTGCATTTTATAGCAGAACTAGAGCCTAATATATATTCATATGCATTTCATGTAACTTTCTGTGAGGGAGCTTTTAGAGGCATTAAACTCTTAAGACATCTGTTTTTTCTCACCACCACTGTGCACAATTCTGACTTTCTGAGTTTCTCTAGAGTGGAGCATTTCACACCAAACCACTCTAAAGACTTTCTCTTACATCTTGATGACTGTTTTAAGCAGAAATTTTGTAATACAGCAATACATGTGAACGTACGATGAACTTCTGCACTTGGCTGAGCTGAGTGAAGCGCTTGTAGGAGATGTCATGCTTGTCTTTGCCACTGTCCAGGTCAGCGGTGTAAACCTGCTTGATGCCTGCGCCTTTGATTAGAGGCACACATTCATCACATGGACACTTAGTCACGAACAGCATTGTGTTCTCCTGCCCCCTCACCTCAGTGCTCCTGCAAAGAGAGAACATTGTCAACTCAAAACACCAACAAACATCTGAACATGCACTCGTTCTAAAAGACAGGCACATGCAGGGGTGTAATTGAAGGGGGTGGCGGTGCTGAAATATTGAAAAGAAATGATCCTCAGTAGTTGGTTTTGTGCTGGCAGGAGAAGGGTGTAATGGTGTAGTGATCACTCAGAGCAGGAGGCTTCAAGAACCCATCTGAGAGAGTCTTCCATAGTCCTCCAAAAACAGATAATCTGTGCTACTAATCATAACTCGGTTAGTGTAGGATCTTCAGGTAACCAATTAGACTACAGACTACAGCACTAATAAGGTAGGACTAAACTAGCCATTCAGAACACAGGATATGGCTAGCCCAATCAGAGAGCAAGCTACTGCTAAACAATCAGAATATAGGATGCTATTAGCCAGTCAGATTGCAGGATTGCCCTAGTCAATCAGGAACAGGAAACTACCACCTAATCAAAACGCATAATACTGATAACCAATCAGAGAGCTCGATTCAACCTGGACCGTCTACATACCTGATGGAGTGTCAGGTAGGATGTTGCCAGCCCCTGTTAGTCAGTCAAGTTTACTCAGCAGGTGCTGGATTATCGAATTTCTGTGCTAAGATCAAATATAATTAATATTGGGCTCTTTGATTTTTGCTAGTGTCCTTCTCTCATTTTTTTTTGTTGTTGTTGTTGTTGTTGTTTTTTTAATCAAGATTATTGTGTGGTTTAAGAGAAACCCATCAACTGCTGTCATTTGGGATTGGAATCCAAGTCAACTCCAAAATTTCTGGAATTGAACAGCCCTACTCTCATAGCACTCGCAGACACGTTTGCCACTGTGCAGTGTTGCTTCTAGTATAAACCTTACCTAACAACTTAATTTTGGTGGCGATGTTTTATGTTCATACATACATGTCACGTGGTGGGCTAATCAAAGTTCCATTAAGTGAGCCTAAAGCAGGGGTGGGGAAAACCGGTCTTGGATGGCGAGATTCCTAAAGAGTTTGTTGGTTTTCCTGCTCAGGCACACCTGACTCAACTCAGCAGCTAATTGCCAGGTTTTGTAGGTGTGTTATGGCAAGGAAATCACCAAAATCAACAGCCTTCAGTTCCCCAACCACGGCCTAGGGTTCATAGCAACCTCACTTCAGGTTTATAGCAGTGATTACAGTGATTTTTTTCAGGGTTAAGGTGCTCACACTGCTCTGGCTAGCTTGCTCATTGGTAGCTGTTTAGGCACAACTAAAGAGACCTTAGTTTGTATTGGGTGAGGCTCTTACCGAAAAAGCAGGGTGTAATTTTTGAAAAGGTATCAAACACACCCCACTCCGGACTACGCGAGTGAGTGAATGAGTGAGTGCACAGGTGAAGTTAATGAAGTGCTACTTCTGAATGAATTACTCACATGTGAAAAGAGTAAAGATTCTTTCTACCGTGCACCTCGAGTCTCACCTGAAAGTAAGTGCATTCTGCTCAGCATGGATGATGTACCGGTACTTGCGATGGCGCCTCTCCTCCTGCCTGGTGTCCATCTGCGGGAACTCTGCGTACTCTGAGCCTGCAGGGTAGGCATTATAACCACAGCCCACCAGGTACATGGCACCTGTACCATCACACTCAGCCTGCTGAAGGAGAAGACGCATAAAGAGACAGGCTGTTAACCTTTCATTTCTGAGCAGAGGTGTTATCTATGAGTAGAAATGGTGGTACCAAACCCTTAAAGGACAGACTGCTCACTTGGTAGCTATCTTAGCAATGCTTTTGGGTGGTTCTTTCCAGTCATACAAGATCAGGCTCATATTTACTTGATAGATAAGAAACCTATAAACCTGAAACTCCTGTCTCTCTAAGAACAGGACATTGCAGAGAAGTTTGTTAAGAAGGATGCTTTAAAAACCGAACAAAACATGTTGAGCTGTGCTGGCTTTCTAGCATCACTAGAGTCGTTAATAATATGGTGCATCTATAGTAGACCTACAAGCACCATTACAAAACACCCACTTACCAATGTAGCACATTAGTGCTACAATTTAAGAGTCTATGAGTTCAAGTCTCAAAATATCTTAAAAAAACCTGGAGCACTGGAGGAGCTGTTAAAATTTGGAATCAACATTTTTTTAAAAAAACTTCTTCCAGTGTATGAACACTTTCAACTTACCCATTTGTCTTCAGCCCAAATGACTGTGCCCACTCCCACTTTAGGATCTTCTAAAATTCGTCAAAAATGGAAAAATGAAACGTCAAAACTTGTTTTTACACAGTGGAAGTCACTGATTTCAAGCAAGTCTTATTTTCTCCTTAAAACAGGACCCTATTTTTTGCTCCAGAGAGGCGATCATGTAGCAGGCCTACATCTTCTGTTCACCAGACAGGCTAAATTCACTGCTCATTCTATATTTATACATTTTTTTGTATGTATTATATGTACAGAATGGGTTTGATTACAACAATCGTTTTTAACTTACATTTATCTACCTTATACTGTATTGTATTGTGAGCACATCCACCCATGTGCTAAATTTAGCCAAGAATTAAGCCACTGGTTGGTCAGGAATTTTATCGGACTGAAATGGCAATCATAGCTATAGGAAGCCCATTTTAGGCAGTAAACCAGAACATTAGTAGTATCTAGCACATAGATGTTAAAGACTAAAGGTGGGGAACTCTGGTCCTGGAGGGCCCGATTCCTGCACGGTTAATTTCTACACAGGAGATTTTCCTGCTTAAACACATCTGACTTAACTCAGCAGTTCATGTCCAGGTTTAGTTGGTATGTGTAAGCAGGGACATCATCAAACTCTGCTGGCCTACTGCAACTGCTAAAATATTCTAAAAATAATAATCAGAGCCTAGTAAAGACCTGCGTGGTGTAAAGATGTGTGCTTGTTTTAGGTTTGAGTTTGTATTTCAAAATCCTGCAGTAGTAGCCATTTTCATTAAAGTAAGCCGATTTTCCTCCCTTGCCAACTTTGGCCCATTCTAAGGTCATCACTAAAACATAAACAGGTTTAGATCTGTCCTCTAAACTTAAAAAAAAAAAACTAACATAATAATGTCTCACATTGATAAAAAAATTTATGTTAATGTTAGTCGTTTGATGTATTAGTAATAATTGTCTCTCATCACATTATAATATGTTCTATTTGATTAAAATTATCCATGATTTAAATGAAAAAACAAATAAAAAAAGATCTAATTTTGCACACTGTCGCACTGTAAAAAATGAGAAGTCAGCTCAACATAAAATAGAGTTGACTCAACTTGAGGACACTAGAGTTCACGCAACTCAAACTTCTTAGCTGAGTCAAAAATTCTCCCAGCTACTGTTTCTAGGTCTGCATCTCAGTTAGATAAACAAAACTGAATGTGTTTTTTTTTTACTCAATTTCCCCTCTAGCTTGTGCTCCTTACATCACACAGTCCCATCTGGCAAAGTTTCCAGCTGTGGCATTGCTGGGATTCAAACTCACAATCTTCTGATGTTGGGATGAATTATTAGACAGTTGCACCACATGAAACAATACTGTGCTTTAAAGTTAAAACAACAAATATTTTCTCCAGTGTATTAAACATTTGTAGACACAAAATCTGAGCTTCTTCATGTGTTTCCGTGTGGCGCAGTAGACTAGGCCATCACCCCAACAGGAGTTCGAGCCCCAGCAATGCCATAGCCATCCCTAACAGTGTGTACCCAAGCGGAAAACAGTATTGTGTGATGAAAACAGTCCTGGCTAGTGGGGAAGTTGGGTATGAAAAAACGTTCATTTTATTTACCTATCTGAGATGCAGAACTAAAAAATTAAGAGAACTTTCGACTCAACTAAGAAGTTTGAGTTGTGTGAATTCATGTGTCCTCATGAAATCAGTTACTATATCTTATTTGTTTAGCAGTGCATCATATACATTGCATACAAACAACCCGAAAAATTCCCAGCACCTTACCTGTTCTGTACGCCAGCAGCGTGGCCTGTATGATACAGTGTCGTACAACGTCTTGAGGCAATGTCTTAGGACTAGTAGTTGTGGGTTTTGTCTCATAGAACCCATATTCATGTTCTAGGACTGGAACACTGGCAGCCACACAAGCCAGAACTTTAATCAAGTCTCTCATGTGTTGCCGCAGTGTACTGAAATGCGGTTCAGTGCAAAAATTCTCCAGACCCATCTTACTGAGCAGCTCCCTGTGCCGAACCTCATCCTCTATGAGGAACTTCCTAGAAAAGTCGTCCCAGTTCCTCCAGCGTTCCTTCCTAAAGAGGTCACAGATGTCCACAGAAGAGCCATCCACTGCTATTGTCCCCAGGAAGTCGCTGTTCTGGGACTTCTCCTCTACGTATTGAAGCATGGAGCTGGCTAGAGTCTGCAGGAGCACACAGATTTGAGGCCTACTGTTGGACTTCAATCTCTCAGCAGCTAGAGCATCCAGTGTGGCCTCCTCGAGATGGGACTGTGCAGCACTGCTTCCATCAGACAGCAGGCCTATCTCAGCATCAGAAGGCCAATAAGATATTCTATTCACACCAGCTGAGAGAGATAAAAGGAGTAACAGAGAGGGAGAGGAAAAGAGAGAGAGAGAGAGAGATAAATGGCAAACACCTGGGATAATGATCTCTCTGACAGTGCTGTATATCACTATAGTGACAGCATAATGACAAAGCTTAAGAACGTCATGGTTTCTGAATCTTTGTTAAACATGTTTATTGATATACCATCCAAAAAAGGTCAAAAAACTTCCATAAATTCCTATCAGAGCACAAAAAACCAACTGAAGCTCTGTCATGTTATTGGTTTACTATGGGTTATTACGTGCCTACAGCTAATATGGGTCAACAGCTTTTACTGGCCGATAGTTCCACAGCAGTCGTCATGGATTCACAGATATTCAAAATGGTGTTAACTCAATATTAGCTTCTTTTAAAACCTTTAATTGAAATGTACTGCAGCCTTCTTAGCCTAACCACATTTAACTTGATTACTAAGTAGAAAAAGGTCATCCATAAATGCTAATGTTGCTTTCAGTTAATATTGTACCATATGTTATAAGCAATGCTAACACAAAATACACTATTACGTAGAGTTTCCCTCCGTTAATAAACTCAGTGATAACTATAGATACATACAGGCCTATGTATAGCTAATGTGCTAATCTAAAAGTTCCCATAGCAACTCAGCCTTTCACTTTGTCACCTAACTAGTCAATGTTCATATATAGACCAGGAACTAAAGGTTCATTTTTAAAAAATGGCTAACAGTGCAAGTATTTTTGATACGACTGTCCTTCATAATAGCCTTGGGCAGATCACTAATATTCATATTATTGCTCTTTTACATGCCACATGATTTCTGTTATTGCTTGACCTTTATTTAATCACTCTCTAATAAATGTATATGCACATAATTACAGGCCATGCCAAAAGAACACCTACAAATTCAAACTCCTCACAGAGTGGTGAGTTACATGATTTGAACTGCACTTGGAAATATTAAAAAACAGATGTTCTCTCTTGCAAGGAATGTTGGGGGATATGCAAATGAAATGAAAACTTCAGTATTTGTGATCTACTTTCCAGTAGAGAATAAAATGGAGGAGGTTGTCCAGAAGAAGGTTGCCAATGCATCAGTTTGGTGATATTTTGGTTTCCAACCAAATGAATGTGAGACCCAGTGAATATTAACTGTGTTACATGCAGGCTGTGCAGAATATAGTCATCATTATTAATTATTAAGAAATATTCAATCCTAGCTGGTGATTATAAAGTACTTATATTACCATCAGGGAAATGATGAGCATAAGTCTCTGTAATGCTGTCAGGCTCTATAATGAGATACTTGGGAACTGGGTTTGAATCGCAATGATACAGTATGAGTGATAACTGATGAGATGATTCTGCAGATGACAATCATTTATCTAAATTTATGTGATCCAAGCTCACTTCATAATCTCAATTAAAACGGCAGCTAAGTTAGCTCACCATTGATGATCATCTTGAGGCAGGTTGAACAGGGCTTTCTGGAGAAGTAGAGGTCACAGCCTTTTAGCCTGGGTCCATGTCTGATGACCGCTACCTGTCCTGCATGTAGGTCAGGTCCAGAGCAGTGCAGACCCAGCACTCTCTGCTCATGAACCACCACCAGACCAGTGTCTCGAGTCTGCAAGTATCACATTACGCTCCATATTCATCAAGCATTCCAGTGTAGGAGCTAATCAAAGGTCCTCCTCCAAGGGCTGACACAAGGTCTATATGGTTACACATGGTTTATGATAAAGACTGGACTGCAGTGTCTCTCAACTCCAGTCTACTAGTCCACATATTTCATGTATCCCCACAGCTTAGTCATAACATACATGCTAACATTAGCCAATGATGAAGCTCATCATCACCTATGCTCCATATTTCAGCCCCATGTTGCCTCAATCATGTTTCCTCAACACAAGAAATAAGACTAACATCCATAACGTAATTACATATTTACAAATGTACATGTTGCGATTTCATATGTTCAATATATGATATCTGAAATTGTTTTTTATACATGCTGCATATAAGCAAAGTGCTCCATTCTGTTTTGTGTCTGTTGATGGAAGTTTGTTATTCCACTCTGCTAGCTTGCTAGTACGTTAACTAGGTGCTACACAGTAAGAGCAAATAATAAGGCCAGGGCGTCACAATCAAATCAGACAAAGCAATTACAAAGTGAATCAAGTATGCCACACTCTTGACTTCCGAAAACTTCCCAACTGTTTGCATTGCAAAGTTTGCTTAGCTAACTGACTCTAGAACCATGGCCACAGGAACCCTTCCATAGGTTTTGTTAATGTATAATGTTAAGGTTTGATGTATCATATAAAGAGGTGAGGGAAAGCACAGCCCTGTGAACACAGGACCCTGGGAACATAGATACGCTCCTGTTGCATGTCAGCAGCCAGTGCTACAGTAAATGAGCTTCCCTTTTGTGCTCATACACATACCGACACATAGAGTCGGTATGTGTAGAGTCACTGAGAGGGCATTTTATGTTCTGTTTAAACTCACCAAAATGGACAATGGTATTGATAGCATAGAGGATAACACTACAGCTCCACACACAGAAGACTGGAGGTTTGATTCACCGTCCAGGCAGGAATATCACTGTCATACCATTAAGAGTCCCTGAGCAAGACCCCTAATGTTACATTTACCATCGACTGTTGCTCCAAATAAAAGCATCTGCTAAATATTATGTACATTTACAACTTAGCTGTGTAAAATGAGCTAATGGTCAACAGAGTTTCTCTCTTAATATTGTTGGAATTGGCCACAATGTTAATTATTGGTTGTCATTATCTGCCCAATTCCGATGCATCCCTAGATAAAATGATTCATAAGCTGTCAGAGCAGAAGAACATAAGGTAAACCTGAACATGACATGCAGGTGGACTACAGAACTCAACAAGTTCAGAAGAATAATACTTTACTCACAGATCCATTATCCTGTTTCTGAGATTCCCTTTTGGGGAAAAGTTCCATCCAAAGACTCAACAATGTGAAGAGGTTAACTTTGGACAGTCTCGGTCCAGGGCCTGAAAGAGAGGGATGTTTCATGAACCAGTGTTAAAGGCGATTTCACTGAATTAGATTCTGCATAATAGAATGAGGATCTTATTCAGCAGCTGTTCACAGTGGTGGTGAGAGGAACACCAGGCATCTGAGGCAGTTAAGGCCTGTAAGTTACATCACAGGAAGCTATTGCATGAAATGGTTATGAATACACCGCCTGAAGTCTGAGACACTGTTCTATGATAGTTTTCAGATATGATTTTGGTCTTAAATGTATTTTAAATGCATTCAGGATAGAGAAGTACATGGACGGCAATGTTAGGCAAAACAGTCCCCAAAGAAAACTTACTTTTTCAGATTCCCCACAATTTTCCTATCATCAACATTACACATAACAACTCAGAAGATGCGCAGATTCACCTGTCATTTTGCCTAGTTAATAAAGTGGCTATATTTGTGCTGTAGACATTGTGACCCCTGGTTCCTATCACCACCACTGAGTGACATCCTCTTTATTGACAGTAGCCCGAACGTGTTTTTAATGTCATTTTCTAAACTGCAAACTCGATAACTACAGCTTTGTGCACCTGAACAGGATTCACATATCATGCATTGTATCGACTAAGCTGATGATTCAGACAAGAGCGAATAGCGTGGAAATAGAAAGTGAAACTGATGTGCTGCCTAATGAACACTTAATGAATAATTTATTTAAGCAGTACATGTTTTAGAATAAAAGTTCATAGATGTTCATATATATATATATATATATATATATATATACATATATGTACATGCATACATACATACATACATACATACACACACATATATACACACAGTGGCAAATCAGTAGTAGCAAATCAGGACATTTCAGCCTTGAATCAGAGCTGATTTCACTTTATCTGGCACCTGTGACAGAAGTGGGAAATACTTTTGTGCTGCTTTTATATTTTATAATGTATAATCCCCGAAAAATAAACGAAGAATTACTGCATTTTGTTCTAATGAGCTGAGCGACCACAGGTGAGAAATGTGAGACCCTTACTGTCAGGTTGTGTTTTGCCCTTTGACAGCTTTTACGGTAAGTGTTGTACAGTTTACGTAACGTTACCGAAGCCTTAATGATGGAATGAAAGATGAACGGTCTGCGTGCCTGCCTGTCTGTCTGTGCTCACCCTTCACTCTGCTGCTGTCTGTCTGTGTGCTGCTCTCCTTCACACCGCGCGCTGAGCCCAGACCGTTCTCCTCGAGCTCTGAGCGCTGTCTCGTGCTGTGTGGAGCTGCCATTCAGTCTCAGCCGCTGATACCGAGTCCGCTAAATTCCGTCCTGTTAGCTTATCACTTCATTTCCACATCATCCTCTTCCTATTTTGTTTGACGTCACCCAGCAGGAGGAGCTCTCAGGTGCCTTTTGAATCTGGGTTGCCAGATATCCCCGTACATCAGCGGGGAAAGCCTCGCACCACTTGACTCGATTAAGATTCCCGTTTACTGCTCTCTGGCCACCTGTACAGACAGAAAACCGTTTTATCTTTAAACTACGATTTCTAATATCGGAAATTTAATTTGAAGAAGTAAAATGACGATAATAAGTAAAAACAAACACAAAATTCAACGTTTTCTAGTATTTGAGCATGCCGGATTTCCACTGGTAAGAAGACAGGAGTTTTTCAGCAACGATTTTTATTAGCATTAAACTTAACGTGTTATTTTACGTGAACCAAAAATAAAAATCGTTTTTAAAATTCTTAGATTAAAATTAATTTATTACTTCTTCAAATTTGTTACATTAAAAAAAAAATAGTTCTATTGCTACATGTAAAAATTTGATTTGCAGTCATCGCATTTATTATGCCTGAAAAGAAAAAAAAACACCTTTGTAATTTTGCATATTTGCAATTTTGAAACTTACATTTAAATGCATCGGGCTTGAGGTCACTTCTTTTAAATTATGTAATACTTAAAACTCATAAAAAAATGAAGATGGCTAAAAAAAATTTGTTACGTTATATTCTGACTGACTTCAATGTGTGAAATTCAGACTTAACATTTAAACATTCAAAGCAAAGCATAGGGGCCCGGACTAAATATAACTCCCTGCTGGCCACAACAGCAGCCATTCTGGCCTATTATTAAAAAAAAATGTTATTTAACATTAGTTTCTTCTCCGTCTATAAAGACACCCGAAAGAATGCAGGTAACAGCGAATATGCATAACAGACAACACTGTGGTTAAAGATACAACAGAAATGACAGTGAAAAAACATTTACCCAAACTGTAAAGAAAAGCTTTATTTTCATCAGATGACATTATACAATACTGTTGCATGTTTAAGTAGATAAATCATTTCTCAGATGTAATGCAAAAACTATACAATATATACACCTTTCACATACATTTCACACACTTTGCTTCTACATATGAGCAGTCAAAAATTCACAGGGGCGTTTGTGCATACATACAAAATTAATCTGACAGGACAAAACTAAAGTCATACAAAATGAAAATCTAAACCTCTGAACTTCAATGTAACTATTGGAAATGGACAAAAGTCTTTACTGAATAACTGAGTAAATAGAAGCAGCTGTTTTGACAGCTTTGACTACATCTCTCTTTTGATAATCCATAGAAGCCAAGCAGCCTTTCTGCATCTGGCTAGTTATCTGGATGCAAATTTAGTCTGATTTTAGACAATTTTCAGTGGTGAGTCCTCAGTGACACTTCGCAGATGAACACGTAAACTAACAATGACAAAAAAATTGTGTGTAAGGAAAGTGCAATAGTGAACTGCCAGCCACCTTAAAAGCAAAACAGCAAAAGTGTTTTTTTTTCCCCCCACACAGGAATAGATTTAAGTTTAAGACTGGCATGGTCAATGTTGGATTATGAGCTCTCTGAACAGCTAAAATGAGAAGGTGTGTCTCATGGGGTTGCACACTGGCATGTGCCAGTATATTTGCTAATACCTGCAATTACATCCTTGAAGATGAATGCACTGCACCAAACCAGAAACTCAGTAATTCACCTCTCTAACACTGATAGATGAAAGAGGGAGAGCGAGAGCAAAGTAACAAAGTGCTTTCAATGATGCACACCAAAGCTATATAATCCACCTCAGTGATCACCACAGTGCAAACTACACCAGCAGCAGTGTTAGGATGTAACATTATTATAATGTCTCCAATATTAGATCTGTGAATTGAAACAGTGTAGACAGCATATAAAGTAACAGATCAGCTCCGTGGCTAACAATTATTTATGAGTAACACTGAGATCTGTTTCCTAAGTAAATGTAACAGATGGGCTCTGAAGCAAGACCTAGAGATTCTAACTGGCAAAAGACATCCAGTGCCAAAACCTCTAGGGTACATTTGTGCCAGAATTTCTAAACTTGCACAGAATATACCTATGGATCCATGAATGCATGTTTGTTGAATTTTTCCCATGGCTTAGATGGAAAATTAGCAAGATAAACACTGCAGGTGACTTCATGAAAATCTGCACTGCAAATCAACGAAGCAGAGTCTTCTGCCTTGAAGGTTGATCAACTTCACTTAGTAACAGTGCCTTCTAGTGGTCTGGATGACTGCCTGCAGTAACAGATGGGCTCCTTGGCTACTAAGCCTCTGCATGTGCGCACGTGGTGCTGGCCTGAGGCCGCAGCGTCAGTTTTTGAAGGCTCCGCAGCGGCTGGCTCTGCAGATAAACTCCTTCAGCATGTTACCGTCAATCTGCCAGAATGCTGCTGTCTGGGTGACCTCGGTCAGGTGGTTCACGCAGAACTTGAAACAGAATTCCTCCAGATCCTTGAGGAATAGAGAGACATTTATCACAAACTGAGATCACTGTACTTGAAACAGACCCATTTGCAAACATGAAACAATTTAGCAGAAAGGTTGAAAAATTCTTTGATGAAGCTTAATAATGAACTTGGTCCCCAGTGAATTACATATGTTTTGGCTAAGAAAATGTTGAATCATTATGAAAGAAAATCAGTTTTGCTTTTAAGTCCTGCCTTTTAAGAAGCAAATGAATGGCCAGTTCATGTCTTTGATTTGAAAATCTATTTGATATTTATTTATTTTTTTTTATTTTTATTTATTTTTTTTTAAGATGAAAGCCAATACTTTCCTTTGGAGTTGTTTTTAACAGCTGACCGTGATATGATTTCCTTATAACCTACCAAAGTATATCATGAGCTTTGTGTTTCACCACAAACAGATGACTACATACATTTTTAAGGCTAAATCCCCTCGAAACCATACAACGCTAATGTAGGTAATCCGCACAGAGTTAATCCGTAAACTGAACGTCTAAGAATTTCAGTCCCAATCAAACTGCGCTGTAGAAGAGCTCTGGGAACAAAACCCAGTAGCAGCATGTCCCCTGTGCTGTGCCCCTGAGAGCAAAATGCAAATTTGGATCTTTTAATTTGATATACATACATATACTATGTATTATATACATGCAATGATATGCGTTTCCTGCTCCTATAAGATCAGGTTAGTTATACCTCAGCATCGTATCTGACTGCAGCAGACAGCAGGGAGAAGGCATTCTCTACAGTGATGCCTCGCTTTATGATGTGCTGACACAGCCGCTTCAGCCTGTTCTCACAGTACGAGGTTGCCAGATCCAGCAGTCCTGCAGGGAAAACTAAAGTGCTCAGTGAATGGTGCATCACATTTATGCAATAATTGCTGCCCAGATGCCAGGCAAGAGAAAGCAGCTTCTTCATAATATTTTCACTGTACTAAGGTTTAGCAAACCTCTCAGATTAATCCTTGTGCTTATTACATTTGTGCCTGGATAAATCAATAAATTAGGGCTGTCACAGAAAAAGAGAACTGGGAAGCCCTTAAAAGACTAAATAATCAACAAAAATGATGTGGTAAAAATGTAAATGTGTTTTCATGGTAAGAAAGGCCAGTAAAGGAACTCGCATTCATTATCTTTCAAACTGGCAAGCATTTGAGGGATGATAATGCATCATGCAAACAATTCTTTTGTATAGATTAAGTGAGAATGTACATTTTAATATATTTTTTTAATTACTTAACTGAGTAGTCGTGACAGTTCTACAATAAGTACCTTAAGGTTTTTGAACAAAAGATGCAGGATTAACTGCTGGACCATGACCAACTGCCTTACCTGTATCACACATTTTCCCACTGTACTGAAACATCTAGTCTCTTCTGTAAATGTACTTGGCTATTTGCATGGTACATCTTGGACTTACCGATGGCATCTTCTGGGGGAAGATCCACAGTGTCTGTGTAGAGGAACTCAAGGAAGGAGCGGTAGACAGGGTATGAGAACTGATCGATCTCTATGACCTCTTTCATATCCTCATTCCAGTGGGACTGAAACATGGACCGGAAGTGTTCACATCTGTAATTAAGGAATTCAAAGACAGACACAGCAGCTGAATTAACAGCAACACTAAAGGCTGTTATTAAAGGGTATGTTTCTCGTTTTAAATGAATTGTTTAGCAAAAAAGTCAAATTTACACAATTTTTCTCTTTCCCCATAAGTAGTCAGCCAGCCAAGACATGTTTGGTGTACAGAGGTTTGGCACACGGTATGACTGACTGTGAGCTATAAAAATGAGCATAAGTTGGGCAGAAACTTCAGACGACAAGTGTTGTGCTGATTTCAGACTCTCCTTAGTGTGCGTGCATGTCATGCAAACATATGGATGCTACAGATTACATTCACTAATTTGGCTGTTTCTTTTTAGAAATAACTGTAAATCCTGATTTTTCAAACTTAAGATATATATATTTAAATGTAGAAACAACACACACAAACCAAATCTAGTGTCTATATGCCTGGTTACGTGCATGTATGTTATAGGCAATGAGATTCTGTGGACGAGAACACCTGTTGTGTAAAGAGGCTGCCTGTAGCATTGAGCTACATGGTAAAGTTTTGCTGATTTTTGTAGTTCACAGTAAGTCTTGCAGTGTCCTCAACCACACTGACAATTCTGTGCAGCATGAAGACCTGGAAACTGTTTGAGCAAGCTGAGAGAAGTTTTGGGGATGTATTTACAGAAAAGATCTGGAAGCCTATTGACTTCTAGTGTTTGTTAGCTACGTTAACCTCAGAGTTCCAGTTCAAAAACTAAAGAAAATTTGAACACCAAACCTATCAGGACTGACTGACTATATGAATATATATAAATAAACACTCTTGACTAAAGGAAGGCATGCAGCAGGAGGTAGCCACTCACAGACAGCCAAAATTCTAAAACTGATACAAAAATGAAAGTGATACACATTACAAGGATATCAGATTGCACTGGTGTCCAAAATCTGTTAGAAATCGGACACTGAATATTCGACTTACGTGCACCATATCATGTAACTCATGGAGCAAGCTTGGTCTGACTTGACTTTTCCATTTCATGCAAACCCAGGACCAGCTCTCTTTTCCAAAGTTACTGTTATTAACCTTTTTTGTGACAAAACCCCCAAACTACTCTTGGGTCAGTGTATAAAAGCAAGTTACACCCCATCATGGAGTGAAATGAAGTGAAGTGAGCAGGCACCTGATTTTGAGCACTGCTTTGTGGACGTGAATAAATTTGCCATCTACGCTGAACTTGAGGTCTGAAGTCTCAGGGCTGTCGAACTCTTTCTTCAGAGACTGGGCCACTGTCAGGAAGTCATCATGCTCTACCAGAACAATAACAATTCTGTTATTGAACTTCAGAGCAGAAGAAAGAGGAGCAATGAAGAGGTTTGTTTGTGTTGCTTTTATGTGTCTTTATATTTAAGAAAGAAAGCAAAAAAACAGCTGTAGTAGAGAATCAAAACACAACTGGCCAACATTATTCAAAGAACTAGTTCAGTCTTCTATAATAGAGACACTCTATAGTAAATTCCAACACATTAACTCTACCGGATTTCACAAAGCAGTATTTCTAACTTCTTTTTAATTCCTTTATCAAGTGAAATCTGACAGTTCAATCATATCTTCAGAGATAACACAGGCCTAAATGTTTAGGGGACAGTCCATGGATTTTGGCATCCTCTCAATGTCCCCATATGCAAATCTTCCAGGAATTAATAACGACATTTGCCCATGTACACTAAGAAAATGGGACAGATATATATTTTAGAATAAAACATGTAGTGCTTACATCTAAATGAGAAGAAAAAACCTGAAATTTTTCCAGTCTCTCTTAGATCACATCAACCGAAAAAAATATGAGATAACTGGGGACCATTTAGTCAAAGCGGCATTTCTAAGTAAGCTGGATAACCTACATCAAGGACGGCCCAATAAAAATGCCTCATCTCTACTCCTCCTAGACAGGCTTGATTTCTGGTTTGAGTTATGGAGCCAACAGAAAAATCCTGTTTTATGAAATACTGCCCCTGTCAAATTAAACTGGATCTACTTTGATTTAAAAGGCATGAATTGTTTTTTTAATTTCTCAATAAATCAGCAGTAATTAGTTTCAATTTCTATGATGTTTATTTTAAATTATCCTACTGACTGAAAATAAAAACTGATGAAGACCCATTTATGTATTTTTTGCCACAAAATTGTCACAAAGCTGTCCTTAGATTGTTATTGTCAATTAAGTTAATTTTATTATTATTTTTTTTTCTTTTAATTACTCAATCACCTAAATGATTGAAAAAATACTCAATTTCTAATTTAATCGATAGTGACAGCCCTCAAAGGCCATTGGCTGTGTAATCCGTGCCAGGTAAATACCACCAGACAAACACAAACAGTCCAAAAACTCAGGGAAGAGCACACCTATCAAAAAACAAACCAGACTCACCTACTGACAGCAGCCTCCACATGACTGAAGGCGTGGCAAAGCAGGCAAAGACGTCGTCCGTGCAGGAGAAGTGTGTAAGGTGGGGCAGGACGATGGACTGGCCTCTACACTGACCCCACATATACACCTGACCGCTCTGGGTCTTTGCTGCAGAGGTGTGTGTGGAGTGGCAGGCAGCTATCTCCACAATCCTGTACAAGTGGAAAGAGGAGGTGGAGAAGGGATGAAGAGCAGGAGGGGAGGAGAGGAAAGGGAAGAAACACAGGTGGAGGGGGTGGGGAGGCAAGAAAAGGAAAAAGGAAATGCATCAGCGTGTGAAGAATGAACTCAGTTTAAGACTGCCAACATGTTTAAAGGGGCAGTTCACTTTACCAACAGTAAAAGAAAACTGACGGCTACTAGTTAGAATTGTTTCATTTGTAAAATGCTAACTGGAAGCTATTCCCTTATTGATTTGTTATTATCTGTGTTAGCACTATCAGGGTTCATTTTACTATAAGACAAAATGCCTATTATTTCAGAAAAACATGGATGTCTACAATCTTTCTTTAAATAATAATTAAATAATAATTAAGAAACACAGTACAAAGAAGTGCATCACGTGTCTATCTGAACAGGCACTTGAAGCATTCCCATCACAGGACACTCAAAACAGGAAGAGGGGGAAACTCCCCAGCAAGCTGACAGGAAATGGCTCTGGGATGCAACAATGCAGAGCATTACTGGTGCTCTGACTGGCCACACACACACAACATCCTTCATTATTAAGTCAACATGACCTCATTACTGCACCCAGCACTCAGCTCCATCCGAACTCCACAGACACACAAAACAAACAGAAACACATTGAATGAAAAAGCAAGTATAAAACATAAAAAAGAAAAGCACATACAAACAAGCAAGAGAGAAGACACTGAAAAAAAAAATTCCACTCTCTCTTACCTCTCTTTCTCGGCCATGACCTGAACGGGACTGAGCTGGTTGCTCTTATTGCCTGTACCGAGCTGACCATAAGTGTTGGCTCCCCAAGCGTACAGAAGCCCCTCATCTGTCAGTGCCAGCGAGTGGGCGTAACCAGACGCAATCTTAAACAGATGGCATGCATTAATGCAATAATCTACTGCGTCCCACGGGAGAAGCATGCTGGCTTTTAGGTGAGCAAGAGTGATGCACAATAATGTAACAATACAATGAACAACAACAAATTGTGTAATTATAATTTAACTGACTAAATTAATTACATTAGCTAAGTGCCGCGCCTGGACAATCAAAATTTTCCGGCCACCAAAGAAAATTAGATTTTAAGCTAATTTTCTGGGCCGCAAGTCTTTGTTTTCTTTTTCCTAAAAAATAAACATTAGGAAAAAAAAATACAAATATAAATTACCGTCCAGATATGTACTGCTTTAGTCTTGGCTAGCTTAAGACCTTTTAGCAAAAATTTATGGCCAGGCTCTGAGACAATAAGACCCCGTTTTACTCCTGGTTGTTTCATGCAATAGCATCTAGACTGCACTGCAACAAGAGTTTAACCACATGCATTTACGTGCATTGGTAATCAAGTGTGTCACCAGTTTGCAACATCAGTTTGCTATGAATCACTTTATTTGCAAAACCTATAATACAACAACCAATCACCAGTGTTGTTCCTAATTCTTTACCAACATGGTGAATAATGATGAAGCAAAATAAAATTAACTAATGTGCTGCTTTTTTTAAACTAGTTTGGACCGATAAAGGTTTTGCCCTTATGTACAACAGCAGGGGGAGACACCATCACAGGATTTGGAGGAGTTCTAATTGTCAAATGTGGCTTGGTGTGTCTTAGACTACCTCCTGTAGTGGGTTAAGCAACTGAATTTATATCTGTTTTTAAATGCATCTTGGGTGTGTTTAAACTGGCATTTTTGTGGCTAATATCGAGCCAGATACAATCCTGATGCTCAAGACTCATGAAACGGCCAGGCGTAAACATAGTCCTATAGTTCAACCTATTTGGCTGTGTATTATTTATACAATGTGGTGGGATGCAGGACTTTGCTTTTACCTGCAGAACACACAGACCCTGTAGCGCTGCTAGACGGCATGGAGTCAGTTGGTTCCCATTGTTTCCCAACCCAAGCTGTCCATTACCATTATAGCCCCAACCATACACCTGAAAAAAAAAACAAAAAAACATGCTTTTATCAATACATCATACACACAAACAGAACTGAAGGAAATAGAGAACATCTTTGCACAAATATGCTTGACAAAAAAATAAAAAATAAATAAAAAGAGAGATGTCAAAGAACCAGCACTTTTGGTTCACTAAAGAACCTTTCAATGATGTTTAATGAGATGTAAATAAAATAAGAACAACGAACCTCTGAAAGGTTTAAAAGCCTCCACATAATATACAAGTTATTTTCCCAGAACTGTACATCCAGCCAAGGACTACTTAGGGACATTTATTTATTATTATTTATTTTTATATTATTATTATTATTATTATTATTATTATTATTTATTTGTAAGATTGTAAAATATTTTAAGATAAAAATAAATTTGAGGATATGAACAGTGATGAAAGTGTGTAAAACACCACACAATCATCTAGGTATCACTGGTTTATATTAGATTCTTGCTTAAAAATTCAGTAACATAAGCATTATGGCCTGAAATGTACTCTAGTAACCTGTCCAGAGGGTCACAATATAAGGAGAAAGTCCAGAAAGAATTTGTTAATCCTGTGTCACCGTCAAAACAAAGGATGTTCTATGGGCCAAGTAAATGCCTTTCAGAGTACAGTTTACACTGAACCAGTCTAAGGAAAACCACTGCAGTTTTATTTTTACCTCCCCATTGTCTGACACAGCCATGGAGGAGGTCTGGCCACAGGCTATGCTGACCACCGCTTTGTTCTGGAGGCAGTTGGAGACTTTACGTGGCGTGGGCTGGTTGGCAGTGGAGCCCGAACCCACCTGACCACAGTTGTTGTACCCCCAGGCGAACACCTGAGAGAATAGAAGTATGGAAATGAAGAAAGAGGACATCATATACAAACAAATTAATGAATGAGCAATGAACAAATAAGTAACCAAAGAATCTGAAATTACCAACGACAAATACTTTTACTTTTCTGATACAGACACTGAAATCTACAGTAACTGAGATGATACTGACATTAATTCAATACTTTTTTTCCTTTTAAAAAGGCTTTAAATAAGCTACTTTGAACTGAAGCACTTTATTTAAGATGGCCATCTAAAGTACCATATTCAAACTAATCAAAACATGAAAAAATACATAGCTAATCATAGCCAAACCTTTTTTACGATCAAACTTCTACACACAAAAAGACAGAACTAAAGAAATAAAGAAACTTAGCATAACACTTTTCTAGGTACTTACTGTTGTTATGTTAATGTTAGGCTACATGTAGCTGCTGTTATAACATGACCCACTTTCTTTCGCTTTATGTTTAAGTTCTACTGTGAAATTTCAGGCTAGATTTGTTACATAATCTGATTGGGTTCAATCCTTTTTAACCCCTCCTCCAATGCACAATCAAGCATTTTCTGTTGGTACTGATAAGATCATTATGTTGAGTATCAGGTCTCTATCTCTACCTCTATTTTAAATGATTAGTTTCAAAATATTTTCAAAAGCCAAAACACACACAGCTGCCTTTTGTCCTTGTTATTGATTCAACTGAACTAAAGCAATGGCCTACTGACTATTTTCTTGAAACAAGATAACTAGGGAACAAATACTGCATTCTCTGGAGGACTGTAAGCTGCACGCTAATATAAAAGACTGTGCACAACTATGACAAAAGCAAATAACCTTACATCTCGAGATTTACAAGAACACATACAAGGGCAGGTTACTCTGAGAACAATAGCCGTATAAGTAGAGCCCCCTGTGTCACATGTTCCCTATTACAGCTAGCGCACCGCTGCTGAACAACCAACTGCTCTAGCTGAGAAGAAGCTGGGGTATTTCAAATCCCCTCTAATGCCTTTTAATATGCAACTAACCCATATTTCTAACCCACTATCGGATGTACTGAGAAAGAAAATCGAGGTGAGAAGGAGGAATGAGGACTTTTTTTGAGGTAGGATTACTGGATTAGACATTGAAACATGGCACAAGTTACTCGGAAGAGATATGAATTCTCTAATGATGCAGAAAAAGGCATCAAGCCATGTTCATGTTCACTGCTATGTTGGGCAGAAGGCTCACAGAAGAGAACACTTATCAGAGGAAATGACAGTACTACTACAAAACACATTAACAGAAAAGAATGACAACATAAAATCTACTGAGGATTGATCTCATATACTTTATCAGTGGGGTACTCTTTTGTCAGGAATACTTCAGCATTAAGCCATTGGCTTTTATTATAAAAATGTTCTGCATTAAAAAATTCTGTGCTTTCCTAAGTACAGAGTATTTATCGTCCATGGTGATCGACAAGATGCAGCAGGTATTTGTAGTATATGACACTAAAGCATGAAGCATTCCTTTATTCCTCCATGCAGAACTATTAAAATAAAAAATAACCTTGTACGATAAGGCAGCTTACCAGTTCCTCAGACTTAGGCCTCACCCACACTTATCCAGATATTTTTAAAAACAGTTAGTTCTCGTTCACACCAACAGCATGCGAGTGCAAAAACGACACAATAACGCTCACATGAACATGCAAGCCCAGCAGGGGTGCAACCACCTTAAAAAATCTGATGTCATACACCCACCTTGTGAGCATGAGTACCCGTGCACAAAATAGATTGCACCGCAAAACCGAAGTAGAGAACGGTGGCATGTTAAAAACACTGTAGACTTTAACTTGCAGATCATAAGACCTTCATAATTCCATGTTTCTCACAGATTTAAAGCCAGATTTTTGACAGGAAACACAAAAATGCTCAAATCTGAGTTTTTTAAAATCTCCACCTTGGAAACCGTTTTCAGAGATTGAAAGTACCTTTTTCATGTAGATGAGAGAACAAAATGCAAAGAACAACAAACTGTGTTTTCAAAAACATCTGGATACATGTAGGGCCTTGATCTCCCATTCTCTCTCACCTCCCCATCATGGGTCAGAGCCAACGAGTGGTGCGACCCACAGGCCACCTCAATCACCCTCTTGTTCTGCAGGTTAGTGGACACCAGCACAGGAGACACTCCCTGATTGGTGGTTCCGTTACCGAGCTGACTGTACCCATTATGTCCCCAAGCATATAGCTCTCCTTCTGCAAAAAAATAAATAATAAAATAAAATAAAAATTCACCACCATTATGGGACACAGCATGGCTTTCTGAAAATTGTGAAATATGACCCTGAAACACAATATTTGTCATGATTTCTTGTAAAAGAAGAATAATGTATAGTTTAAGACATTTTAAGAGAAAGACGAGGCAGGTCACTGGATGAAATATGAACGGCAAAGTTCGTAATGATCATGAAGGCGGCTGCATTATGGGAAGTCAATAAAAAGAGACAATCGCCTTGTTGATAATTGCATAAGTAGGAAAGGCCTCCCCTTGTTTTAGAGATAAATGAGCCAAAAATAAAAACCAGAAAAAACATGCATTTAGTGCATTATTTTAGCCAATTTTATTCAGTCATTTTTTTTTGTCAGATTATACCAGTGCTTTCAAAGATTTTTTTATAATGTAAGTGTGGCTTTTAGTTACAGATTTATAAGCCTCATCATTCAAAGAGATAACAGCCTGATCTTGTATTGGCCACTGAGTGAACAGATAATCCAATAAGGACTTTGTTTAGAATCTCCTAGTAGTAGTAAAAAAAAAAAGCCTGACTGACACATTCATTTATATCTGTTTTGGTCACTCATTTTTTAATGAAGTCTTTTTAAAGGCTTAAAGGTTTTGTTCATCTGATTATTCTGATGATTCATGAAACTATTAGTGGATTACTCAATTACTAATATAATCAACTGTGACAGGTCCAAGGATGAGTGTTATGAAAGTGAAATACTGCACGGCAAATTGCAAAACACATTTTACCATCTGTAGCAAGTAGAACATGAGGCCCACTGCCATAGCTGAGACTGACCACCTTTTTCCCACTCAGGCAGTCCAGTTTTTTGGGGACGATGGTGCTCTGACTGTCCCCTGTGCCCAAACAGTTACTGCAGTTCAGCCCAAATACGTACACCTGGCAGTATCCAAAAAAATAAAAATAAATAAATAAAAGCACAGCTCCTATACATCCATTACAGCTGCCCTGGATCAAGTTGACATCTGGGCCACGGTCTAGTTTTAACACAACAAGGAGGAAGTATGTTAATGAAATAAAACGCTTGTGTGTGTATAACATGGCAATTAGTGAAATTCATCTTTTTTTGGTAAAATTTAGGTCATATTTTGGCCCAATTACTGCAGGTCACGATCCTTAAAATCAAAATTTTAAGTATTTTTTTCCACAATTTACCTGCTTTTGATTAGCCTGCTTAAACTGATGGTTTGGCCAAAAATCAAATTTACACAATTTTCCCCTCAGCTCAAACGTAGCAGATAAGCCAACTCATATTTGGTGTCTTAAGTTGGCTTCTTCAAGTTTTGCACCGAAGCTACAAGGCTAATGTAGCTAAAAAGGAATGGAAGCTTACAGCCCACAAAAACAGCACCGTGTAAACTGCATGTGTAAACTAGGATAGTTCCCTTAAATTGTGTTGGGTTGTTAAATACTCTTAAATACACCTCAACATGTGGTTTCCGGACAAAATGGACAAGAGACAAAATTCATGCTGTTAGATGGCAGCAACTACTGTCTTCTGGCTATGCAATGTAGTTTTAGACAATTTTTGAGTAACATATACAAACTTCAAATCCCGGCTCTACATCTCCTCCCACTCACCTCATCATCGTGGGTGATGTAGATGGCCTCGTTGGCAGATGTTCCGAAGACACATGCCTGGCGTATTGAGGCGATCTCCTGCGCACTCATGAGGGTAAAGAGGGGCCATTTGCTGACGTCCACCATGGCCACACTACTGATGCTCCGAGGGGTGGGGGAGACAGACTTGGGGGCAGGGGCAGGGGCAGAAACAGCAGCGCTACCGGAGGACACACTGCAGCTACTGGCAGTGCTGATACTGAACAAACACACACACACACATTCATACCAAGACATGTTAAAGGCATTACATAAAAACAAACAGTCGGGTGCAACGGTACACAGAAATCATGGTTCGGTTCACACTGCAGTTTGGACAACACGGTCTGGTATGAGTTCTAAACACCCGAATGCAGGCTGGGTTTCTTTCATTTAATTTGAACTGACTGTGGTGCAAGTTACAATTTGTTCCATGTAGTGACCTTTAGTTCCCCCTGAAGTAACTTTAGTTGGTACAGTCTGTAGTGAGTGTCATTTGCACTCGATGGGGAGAGCCACCAATGTTAAATAATTCGTGCTGTGATAGTTCAACCTTAGTTGAGATTTTGTAGTTAGGAGCTGAGAAAACAAAAAAAATTTGTGCTGAATCTCTTCACAGGTGCAAAAATACTGCAGGCTGTGAACAGTGATGTCTCATTTCATTCATTTAATTTCAGCTTGTGTGGTTCTTTTTTTTTAATTCTCTCTGACTTTATTTTCCTCCATAGCTGCCTTCCTCAACCCTAACTCACTGTTCAAACACCTCGATAGGCTGTATAATTGCGGAGAAAGGCTCCTCCACCGCTAACTTGCTAACGGCTTAGAGCTTAAGGTTTCTGGGTGGAACATTTGTGAAATTTTTTTCTGCATTACATTCATCAATCTTCGCACATACCATCTCCAAAACGGTTTACAGGACCCAAAAAAAAAAAATGTAATTAAATGGACGTAAATGTAATCTGAGCCATTTTTATTGGTCCATTCATCATGAATTTTTAAGACAATGTAAGGGTTAGATGGTGTTTTCAAATTATGTACAAAAAAATACTACTTATAATAAAAACAATAAAAATGTGGATAAAGGTTTTGTCCCAACAGTGACAATAAAATAAAATATAAGGATTTCAATTGTGCTGCAAATTACTTCTAAAACGCTCTATATTTTTTTCACCTCTTCAAGGATTCTTGCAGTACTGTTTTTATAGCAATCTATAATGCATTTGTAGTATCCTACAGTAAATTACAGTAATTGTTTAAATTTACCTTAACATTCAAAAAGAAATCCTGTGGAAATTCTTCTAGTATTACTAAAGATCTTTTTTATTACAGACTAGCTTAACATCTGGATGAGTGGTTTGACACTGGTCGATTAACTCAGCCTAACGTGCAACCACAATGCAAAAGAGCCACCTGCACTGCAAAACCTAACTGAACATCTTAATGAAAGAATTAATTTAACACAAACTAAATACTACAGAAAGGTGGAGTAACATAAATCGAAACTAACTGAAAAAATAAAACTAACTCAAAAGTGAACTGTCGAGGCAATTTGACTAAGATAATTTTTTACCATATTTTCAGTTGAAATAGCTTAATTGAAATGTATTAAATAAAAGTAGCGAATATAAGCTAACTTTACATGCAAATACAAACAGACCAATGATGTGTTGTTTTTAAAGACTGTAAAAAATTAAGTGTAGCTGGACTGATTTCCCCTTTTCAAACTATATATGCACACTTGCAATGAACGACAGACTGTTTTCCCCATATAACAGTCATAGTTTTAGCCTATTCAGAATTACCTATGTTAAAAGAGATGGTTGCCAAGGACATGAAATAGTCTTAGCAGCAGCTGATTGCCTAAGCACAAGCAGAACACGTTCTAATGTTTTTAGCTAAAAGATCAGTTGATTCAGCGGTTGGAATATTCTGTAGCAGTGAATTCATGTGATAAACAGCATAAATGTTTACATTTAAACAATTTGGGTTTGTCGAGCTTTTCTCTTAACCTTTTTTATTTTGATGATTTCAGACATTCAAACAGGATCTCTGAACCAAATTAGTGCAATTTCATTAAGACTTCTCAGCTTTACTTGATAAAAGTTTGGTCAATGAAACCTTTAATAAAACATCATTCCTATTAGCTCTTGGCAACCTTCCCTCGGGCGTCTACTTGTTTTCTAAATCTTTGTAACGCATCTCAGTCAGTACTGATTGAAAATCAGTACTGGTGGAGCTGAGTTACTGAGTTCCCACCTTCTGTTTGTGGCTCTGTGGTGGCTAAACGCTACAGAGACTACTTCCGCACTGTGACCTAAACTGTCAGCATTCGGCAAGATGGTCCAGAGTAGTACTGAGTTGGTTATCAAATTTCTTCTACAAATTTGTTGCAATGACAGTTTAGTTTAGCCTAGCAGTGAAATTAGTTTACAATTGCTTAATTTTATTGAGTTAAAAATGACCACTATAGTTGACCACTATTACATTAAGACCAAAATACCTGATCATTTTAACAGCAACCAAATGATTTCCTCAACTTACTTAAGTGTATGCAACAATAAACATGTTTTGTTTATACTCAGTTTAGGACATTATTTATTGTGAAATGATTTGAGTTACTTGGATGGTTTAAGGAAACTGGTTTCCTCAAACCATTTGAGCTGACTTAGCTTAACTTAGCTGACTTGACTTAATGAGTTAACTCATCAGGTTTTACAGTGCGGCACTGACAAGATCATGCAACAGTTAGCCATTCTTAATGATGTTGTTGCTCTAAGACCGGACAGAGTCTCGTATGCATAATGAAAATGTTACATAACAAAACAGCGATTGAACTAGCCAGCTAGGTTAAGTCTACACAGAACTACGATAAGGCCAGGCTGGCGTGTTAGCTGCTGCAGAAAAAAACAAGCTTTTGTGTGCAGAGCTGATAGAAATGAGAATGAATGCCGCAACAGTACATGCTGACCTGTCGCTGCTGGAAGCCTCTCTCTAAACACCGCCGCTGGTTAGCTCTCGCTCAGTAAACACAAACAGAGCCGCACCGAGGACTATTCAGCTAGCCTGTTTGCTAGCTAGCGAGGTTAGCATGATAAACACAAATTAATCTCGGTGAGCAAACTAAGTCAGCCGACGGGCTAGCTTAGATAGCTAAGATGTTTACTAGCCAAGAACAAAAGCTTCTTACTCGCCAGCTTCTGTTCTAATGTTTCCGTGCCACCTTAAATGGGGCCGCTGTTGTCATAACGCCTGAGGCGTCAGAACGCAACTGCTGCACCATTTAAGGTGGAACGGAAAAATTCGAACATGTAAGCTAGCTGGCTTCAGCTTCTTCGGTGTCGACACTGCGGAGTTGCTGTCAGCAGCTAACACGAACCCTTTTTTACAAGCAGTAAGCAAAATCAGTCAATAAAGCCGTTTTTTTGCCTCGTTGCAGCGTCTCTTTAACTAAGTGGAGTGCGGTTGCTTCCAAGTTAGCCAACCGTTAGCTAGGTTGTTAGCTATCTTGGATACTAACCTACGGCATCGCTCCATCACGAAACCAGGCGAACTAAGAGAGGGAAAACATGAAGGAAGAGACAGATTTTAACACCTAAAACAAATATCAGACCTACCTAACAAGGACTAGAGGCGTTTGAGACAGTATTACCAGAGAGAGGATGACTGCGGTCTCTCTCTCTGCTCCTCCGGGTGGGTGACAGGTTCGCACCGCCACAGGGTTTTGAGCTGACCAGCTACGTCATCCTCCAAATAAGGCCACCACTACACAAAACAAAAGCCCTTAGAAATAAGGCACATGAAACAAACAGACATGAATAATAAAACTGACTAATTATTAAAGGATCACATATTTTATATATGATAAATTGTATCATTTTCTGAAAGGAAAAAGTGTGCAAGTAAACTGAGAGCTGGCAGAGTGGTTGATGTGAAATGGTTCAGTGTAGAAAAACTTACTTTCTTTACAGTGGTGGTGATAGGCGATACCAGAAAATCTACAACTCAAACACAGTCATTTTATTTATTATCCAGAACCATCAGGGAACATTCACTTGGTCTCTTGAGTCGGTATAAGTAATGTTGATGATGGTAACCATTGTGGTAAACGTGAAAAAATACATTTTCTTCGGGCACTATTTTGCCGCACAGCGTCCTGTAAGTGTCTCTTGAATATATATATATATATATATACACACACAAACACATATATATACATCCATCCATCATCTAAACCGCTTATCCTTCTGGGTCGCGGTGGGGTGCTGGAGCCTATCCCAGCTGTCATTGGGCGGAAGACAGGATACACCCTGAACAGGTTGCCAGTCCATCGCAGGGCAGACAGACACACACATTCACACCTAGGGCAAATTTAGCATGTCCATTCAGCCTGACTGCATTTTTTTGGACACGGGGACACGGGGAGAACAGGCAAACTCCACACAGAAATGACCCTGGTCACCCGGCCAGGAATTGAACCCAGGCCCTTCTTGCTGTGAGGCGACAGCGCTACCCACTGCGCCACCGTACGCCACCGTACAGCGCCGCCCCCAGTTACCATTTCATGTAATAACTTTCTGTAATGAAGTTTTTAGAGGCTTTAAATGCTTCAGACATCTGGTTCCTATTACCACTGCTGTGACTGCTCTGAGTCACAGGGCGGGTCATTTCACATCAAACCACTCTAAATGACTGTGTACATCTTAATGATTTAATTGTGCAGAAATGGAAAAAAAAAATGTAGAATTACCCTTTAATGGTTTAAATGTCTGGTTCCTATCACCACCACTGTGAACAATTCTGACTTTGTAAGTTTCTGCAGACATATTTCTCTTGAGGTAGTTCATATCAGACCCCTCTGAATGGATTTGTTTACACCTTAACAAATTAATTATACAGAAATAAAAAAATGGTAAAATTCTTGTTTATATATATATATATATATATATATATATATATATATATGCTGGCTTTGAGGGATAATATATATAAAATATCTTAAATCATCTTTGAACAATAACAAAAGTAAATTACAAAATATCCAAAATACCCATTTTAAATATTTCATCACTTAATTCTTCTAATGACGTACATTAGTTTTCCTGCTTTCCTTTGGGTTGTAACTGAGGCATTTCAAATATTTCATCACTTATGGTATTTATGTGTGTAATGTGTATGTGTAATAGTTCGATAGTGTACAAGGTTTTCTGCTTTGTTTTGATGATGCACCTGGCAGGTTGACAGCACTGTGCCTAAGACCAAACTACATTGGTGCCAGATTTATTAATACTTGAATTACCACTGCAAATTCTGTGACACACTCACTTGGATTTGTTCATTCGGCGGCAGTAAGTATGTTTCATCTCAAATTTGTATTAGCAACTATTTCAAAAAGCAAAAGTTCTTTTGTTAAAGGAGGACACACCTTCATCTTAACATGTGGATGAACTTGTTTAGCTACATTACACTGTGGAGGTATTTAAGGAAGCTTGCTACATATGGGCCAACCCACTGTGGTTAGCAGCAAACTATAGCACTGGCTGTCACTTCTGTTTCCTCTGCTTTGTACATTGTTTCTCAGCGTTGACCACAGGACACTTGATTTCGTTTGTTGCAAATTCTTCTGACAAAGAACGACCTCTACTTCAAACAAAACTCTTTATTCACATGACAACAAGCTAGAAGGAGCATACAATGGGGCCCATGCTATCAAAGAAGTTCCTCAAGACTCGGCAGGTGGTTCTAATGGGCCTGGACTCAGCTGGGAAATCCACACTGCTCTACAGGATCCACCGAGGGGTCGTCATGCAAACCTCACCCACCATAGGCTTCAACGTGGTGACCTTGGAACTGGACAAGAAGACGGTGTTTACCGTTTGGGACATAGGTGGTCAGGGGAGCATGAGAGCCAACTGGAAGTATTACCTAGAGAACTGCGAGGCTCTGGTGTTTGTGGTGGACGCTGGTGACCGTACTAGAATGGAGGAGGCCAAGACAGCTCTGAAGAAAGTCCTGTCTGACCACAACATGGCAGACATTCCTTTGATGGTCCTGGCCAACAAATCAGACCTGCCAGACGCAATGACAGTCAGCGAGGTGTCCAAGCAACTGGATATGGATAGCTACAAGGACAGGGTTTGGGAGATCCAAGCATGCAGCGCTTTGAGAGGACAGGGACTCCAGCAAGCTTTTCAGTCCGTGGCCAAACTCATTCAGACCAACTGAGAGAGACAAGGTTGAAAACTAGAGAGGGACGGTTTGATATTGAAGCATTAATACTTAAGTATCAACATGTTATTAATGTTATATTACAGTACTTCGTCTCTTGAACCCTTGGCTTATTATTCAATTGTCAATTGAAGGACATAGTATTCAGTAACTACTATGAATTATTCAATCACTTTTATGGAGCTAACGTTTAAGTTATGTATTAAGGAACAGAAGTGCAGGCTCATATATGGGCCATTAGTGTACTATTAATACTTCCAATCTTGATGTTTCCTTTTGAGAATGGATGGATTCTTGCATTAAATTATTGATAACAAGTATTTTCTTTAACCAATAATTGTAAGATTATTTTATTATAGTTGCTTGTAGCAAATAAGAGTGCACCTATGGTGTAAGTGGAGCTGATAAAACAGACAAAGAGTGTAGATACAAGGTAGTCGTACTTAATCAAGTGGCTGATTGGTGTTTTTCTGATGCACACTTTAACTAAATTCCACAGTAGAAAGCCCAAAGACGTTATCTGCACAAGAAGAGTTCAAAGTATCAGTCTTGTTATTGGCTTTGGGATACGAGAATTTGTATTAATCAATAATATTAATTACCAATAGTATCATGCATTCTTTCTTCAAAACTGTGCTGAGATGGATTTAAACATGTAGGCAAGTCAGTGGCTGGAAAACCAAGAACGTTTTTACTTTATATTCGATCATTTTAAGCTAATGACATTGAAAAATCATTGAAATGTGGTACAAATATAGAAGCACAGACAGAAGACTGGATGAGGGCCAAATCACGCCTTACTGTTTTGTATGTAAACTGACAAAAAACAGGGAAATGTAGAGGAAAGACACGCAGTCATCTTTAAACCCTTTAAACTGACTGATTGCAAAGTATTGAGATGTAGCACCAAAAACATGGGTTTCAGGGCAAGATTTATTTAATTAAGCTAATGATGGACAGAAATTCACTTTGTAAACTGCTTTGAACAGCCAAGAGTTTTATGGCTTGACTATGCTGACTACTGGATTATTTATTATAAACTGTATTATAACTGGATAATACTGTTGTGCAAACTAAATGTATTAATAATGAGAAGTGAGATTATAAAATTGAATGACTGTAAGTTTCGCTTTATTGTATTTATACCTTTTGTGTGGAGGGCGTGTCGCAGGCACATTCAACTAGGGGTGTGTCTCAGACGCACCCACCCTCATTGCTGACTAATACTTTTGATTCAACATAGAAATGAACAGCAAGTACGAAATGAATAGAAATGAGCAGTAAATGTGTTCAGAGTGATGATGGTTTCTAGCAAGTCACTATTTTTACTCTGGTCTATAATTAGTAGTTTTGATTTAAGCAGGCTGAGCTGCTACAAGATCCCCACGTAAGAGCCATTTTTATGCAAGATAAACAGCGTTTGTATTATGAAGTTTCAATGTTATTCCAGATAGACCATGGCCCCAGTTTTGTCCTCAGTGTCTGTTTCCCTGTCACCTCTGAAGAAATATTCCACTGTTACAATTACCATATACAGTCATTTCAATGCATTTCATTGTATTTGGCAAAGAGCTGAAAACCTCAAAACTCACTTATAATACAGGCCAATGGGCAGGTGCTGAATTCCATCAGTACATATTATGCAAAACATATTTTTGTACAACACTTTTATTAATTCTTCAGTCAAAGGTATTTATAAATAAAATTATAAATATGTATAATTCATTCTTTCAGAGATGGTAGCGGTTTACCAGAGAGAATAATTTATAGTAATTTATAACTAGCATAGTGGCAGAGGGAATTTTTACAGACTGATCACCGTGGATAGCAGAATACCTTAGGGAAAAAGCTTTTTTCACTGTGTCGCTCCAGTGTACTAAAGTTGTATACACGTTAAAAAGAACAGTTTTGGTAAGATATTCTCTCATATCTGCATCTTCATAAGATCTGTATTGTTAGACTGTTAAATAGTCACACATTTCATTTTTCAGTCATCCGTTTATTCAGGGAATCCAGCAACTCCCTAATAGTGTCTATTATAAATGAGTTTCAAGTCAACAGACTTGTATTCTTGCAAAATGATTGTCTGTGTTAAGACATTAAGCTGCTGGAATATTCCTTTCACTGTGCAAAATTAATCCACCAAGGTCTGTTCTGGATCTACTTCTGCTTCTTCTGACTTTGGTGAGACCTCTGTAGATCCTTCCACGACTGATAGAGCAGCAGGCCAGGCACCACCACCCAAACGCCATTAAAGAAGACCAAGTAGACCCACAGGTACAGCCAGTTACTGGTGTTCAGGTTAGGACTTCCTATCAGCCAGTCTGGACAGAAGGTCATCCAGCCTCCATACAGCTCACACACACACAGGGTGATTTGGACGAAGTGCCTGGAATAGAGAAAGAGGAGGGGTTAAAGTTTACACAGGTGCATGGCGGCACAGGCAGGCTCAAAGGCCAAGAAATACAACTGCTGATTATGCAGTAGGGGTGAAGTACACTGATATGATCTCAATCCCAGCAAAAGCTTGTGGCCTTTTTATAAGCTTAAAAGTAACGTCTGGTACTCCTTCAAGTTCGGTTCGGTTTTGCTTTGGGTTTTGAACCACGGTTTGAACCAGACATTCTCTGAAAGAATGTGTAGAGACTGCGTTTTAGTCTTTCTGAAACAGAATGGATATTCCATCTCCATCATATTTATCATGATAGAAACACACACATATAACACCACAAAAAAGCAAAATATAAGTTAATAACTAGACATTAAAGAACTGTAATTTGATAATGGAGTACAGCTACTAAACTGCACCACGCTTCTACTACAACTACAACTGAGTCAACTACTTATCATTCCTCTATAAGAGGCCAGGATAAGTTCAAACTGTGCCAGTTCATCTTGTTTTTAATACATATTCTTTTACTGTCTCACCTGTAGTGCTTGTCTTTAACAATAGCGTAGACCAAAAGCAGTGCTAGAAACCCATCCAAGACAACTGTGAGCAGCTCCAGAGATACTATGGTTGGGTCTGAGTGTAGCCAGCGCTGGTCTGCCTTACCGTATTCCTTCCCTGCAGAATATTACAACCAGATATGTACACAGCAGTATAAACCACTGAAGTATTTAGTGCAGTTCTCAGACGTCAAAACCGTTAAAGGTTGCACACTACCACTACTCATCACTAGATGTCGCCATAAGCTTCTTTTACAGCCTCTGTATGCAGTGCTGTGCTGCACCCAAGAGGATTAATTCAAGCTTATTAAACAATATACAGTATTAAAGGGGAATTCCACCGATTTTTTTAAATTTCTGCATAATTCATATTTAATATGCAAACAAAATCATTAAAAGTGGTCTGATGTGAAATGCTTTGCTCTAGAGAAACTTACTGAGTCAGATTTACTCACAGTGGTGGTGATAGGAACCAGACGTCCACAATGTTTAAATCCTCTAAATGCTCCCTCACAGAAAGGTTTTATATAAAAAAAATGTTTCGGAATTTGCTGCCTGATGTCTTTATGATAGTTTTGAGAGAAGGACTTGGCCTAAAAATGAATTTTTAAGATCTATTCATGGTGCAGGGGTCCTTGCAGGGGGGGAGTGTGAGGAAAAAAGTTCGAAAGAAAATGTATTTTCCAAGACATACCACTATTTTACCCTCATCAGCTTCACACACAGGCACAGGAAATAAAATGGCAGTATTTGTGTTACAGACATTGTGACCCCTGGTTCCTATCACCACCACTGTAATAGACGCCAGTCTGTAAGTATCTCTGCAATAAACCATCTCAAATCAAACCACTCTCGATGACTCTGTTTACCTCTCAACCAATGAATTATACAGAAACTTTGAAAAATCGGTGTAGTTCCCCTTTAAGAGCCTTGCAATATAACCGTACTTACAAAGCTCTGCGAATACGCTGTCTGAGCCTGCAACGGTTCCAACAAGTGACATATACACGAACGGGCCTTCCTGTCCAACGGAAATGACCACAGATGAAAAACGGTGTTATTGTGGTTACGTTACCTCCAGACCACCCTCGAGTGAAGCACTATCGTTACTCACCAGGGTGATGTGGACGATGGCGTCGTAAAACAACCACACAAGCACCCATCTATCTGTGGAAGAACACTTTCTGCCCCAAATCTGCGCAAATATGTAGCCGACGGCGAACTGTGCTGCGCAGGCGAGCAGAGAGATGACCGTTACTGCAGTGAAGAGAGCAGGCTCGTCCACTTTAACGGCTTCAGCCATTTTCATTCAAATAAAAACACACCGCTCTCGCTGTAACGTTAAGGGCCAGGACCTTGGTACTTTGCTCATCAGCGGCTAAACCTCAAACGCCCTCACAGTTACGGTCTCGCGAACTCCGCTCTCATTGGCTGCCGCTGCAATCTCTCCACTTTAGCCACGCCCCCGCATGGGAGATGGGCGGAGTCCGACTTTTGGCGCCAAATTTATTGCTCTGGTATCAAAGCAAAATCATCACTTCGTTCTACAGTTACAGACTGCAGTCCATCTGTTTCTCTGCATACTTTGTTAGCCCACATTTACCCTGTTCCTAGGTGGTCAGGACCCCCACAAGACCACCACAGGACAGGTGTGGGCGGTGGGTCGTTCTCAGCCCTGCAGTAACACTGATGTGGTGGTGTGTTAGTGTGTGTTGTGCTGGTATGAGTGGATCAGACACAGCAGTGCTGCTGGAGTTTTTAAACACCATGTCCACTCACTGTCCACTCTATTAGACACTCCTACCTTGTCAGTCCACCTTGTAGATGTAAAGTCAGAGACGATAGCTCATCTGCTGCAGTTTGTGTTGGTCATCCTCTAGTCCTTCATCAGTGGTCACAGGACGCTGCCCACAGGACGCTGTTGGCTGGATATTTTTGGTTGGTGGACTATTCTCAGTCCAGCAGTGACACTGAGGTGTTTAAAAACTCCTGCAGCACTGCTGTGTCTGATCCACTCAGACCAGCGCAACACACACTAACACACCACCACCACGTCAGTGTTACTGCAGTGCTGAGAATGATCTGCCACCCAAATAGTACCTGCTCTGTGAGGGTCCACGGGGGTCCTGACCATTGAAGAACAGAGTAAAAGGGGGCTAACAAAGTATGCAGAGAAACAGATGGACTACAGTCTGTAACTGTAGAACTACAAAGTGCACCTATATAGTAAGTGGAGCTGATAAAATGGACAATGAGCGTAGATAAAAGAAGGTGGTTTAATGTTATGGCTGATGGGTGTAGAAAGCCATTTAAACTCAGCCCTTAGCTGTACGTCTCCTTGTCTAACATTTAGAGCACTACTTGTGCTATGAAGCCATAGTTTCCTGACCTGTGCAGTGCACTGATGTGAAGAAAAGGGGCTATTTGGGCCTTCTGTGCCCTTCATGTCACAAAGCACAAGGTAGGATAGCTGCTTAGCCTCTCAACCACTATGTAACACATCTGGAGCTGAGAGTGTGGATCAGACAATGCGGTACTGCTGCTTTGCGGTCAGAACCTTTTCTCTAAAACCACATATTGCACTACTGAATGCACTACTGTTGGTGGTGTAGTCCTACTACTCTGACATGAGGTTTTGGAGGCAGCCCTACTCTTAATCAGGAGTGGAAAGAGTAGACAGAAACTATTCTTAAGTCAAAATATGGGTTCTACATCAGTCTCAATCATTGAAAATTCAAACAAAATATTTTTGAGCAAAAGAAAAAAGCATCTATATATAAACATTCAAGTAAATGCAATTAAAAAGTAAACATTTTACCAAATAAGTGAAATGTTCATTTTTCTTTTTCAGTTTGTGATGCAGCAACTAATGGGCAGTAGAAGTGTTTCTACAAAGACAAATTCTCACTGTTGTGAGCACTGTAATTTTACATTTATGTGAATTTGGTTGGATGTTTTAATATAAATAAATAAATAAATAAAGGAATATATAAATGCACTGGAACTCAACGGATCAGGAAAACTCAACTGACCAGCAAGAGAAAAATAAAAATACAAATCCCATGGCTTTTGAAATGTAAGAAGGTCTAAATGAAAATGTAAAGGGTATAAAGTATGCCTTTTTCATCTTAGAAATATTTTAGAGTAAGAGCACAAGTATTCATTTTGAACACTTCTTGAATAAAGCACAAGTCTTCCTTAGTGTACGTATGTAAAGTATAATATACTAACGAAATTCAATCAGGTATTTTCCACCCTGGTCTTCATGTTTGGGGCTGCAGTAAAACAACTATCAGTGCTCAGGATTTTGGTGGTGTTATCCTTGGCACTCATGATCCTATAGGTTATTGAGGCAATGGAGTCTATCATTAACATACTCTAGTCTTGGCTCAAAAACAAAACACCAAGGCAGGAATTTAAGGCCAAGTTGTCCAGCTTCTCCTTGTTTGAAATTTCTAGTGCCCACTTCAGGTGTTTCTCAGTTGTCATTTTTTGGGAAGCAAAAAGTCAGCACCCTGGACAGCGCACAACACCCCGTAACATCACTATGTAACCTGCAACATTTGAGGCTGGGGGGAAAAAAAACATCCAGAACAACTGAGGTAAGAGTCACACTATGGGCCTCATGCAAGAACTAGACATACAAAACTTCACAGTGATCCACAAGTCATATGTTCCAAAGCTAGAAAGCTTTCTTTTTTTAACAAAAGGATTGTAAACATCATGATGTGTAATGGTATTGTACTACTACCACCTATATTAATACATCGCAAAACTGCAAAACATATTGAAAGATTTTTTTAAAAAAGGAGTTTTAGCTCCTTGTGGCATATTGCTTTCTTTTAATTCAAGAAAAATACTGTGGCATTGTGCAGCCAGCATCATACACAAAGAAGGAACTCTAAGCCAGTTTTCATCATACTGAAAACGACAGCTGTTTAACATTGCAAACTTCCATGCCTAATATCGCATGATTCTTTAAATTATGAGGTCTAAGAGCTAAGGTGTCAAAATACGAATACTATTACATGACACCAATTACTCATACCGTAGTCTACTAATGGAAAAGCAATTTTACTAGCACATTTGACAAGGTTTGCTGGTTTGTGTGGGGTATTTCGGTGAAGTTGCCAGTCTTAGCATGTCAAATCAGCATGCAGCAGTGTTAGCTTGCAAGTAGCAGTATTCATATTTCATTTCGTGACATTTTGGGGTGAAAGTGTACACAGGACAAAATGCATCAGCTTTGGAATAATCTTAGCCCACCACAGGGTGCGATAGCAGTTTCCCTTATAGAAAACCAGCTTAAGCCTGGGGCTCCTTACTTGGTCATGTGGTCGACTATGTAGTGATAGCACAACTTCAAATGTCTATATTTATGAATGGCATGTCAGGGGGTGGAGTGACTGGCCTTACATGGCAACTGGATGTTAATTATGCAAATTAGGCATGCAAATTTACAGCACCGCAAACTCACACTTATGAACAGGTGCTGTTTGTTATGCTTATGGGATTTGTCAGTCAGCTCAAACTAAAAGTCAGCTCAAAAAAGTTATCTAAATTATAAAAAGCCCACCCTATAAAAAATAAAGTAAGAAAACTTATGTTCTTGCATGGGCCCACTGCAACCAAGAGTAATCCGATGTATGAAGCTATATACAAAGGCTTAAAGAAGTCAACAAGCCCATATAAAAAGGTAGAGAAACAGTACTGCACACAGAGAGAGGAAAAGGGAAGATAAAAAACAAAGTGCACTGTATTTAAGTGTGAATCAGAAAAGAGCAGTAAAGAACAGATGGCTAACAGCAAGTTTATTTTGGTTAGGATAATTGATACATAAAGCACGTCCTGAGGGAGTGATGAGTGAAGTATGGCCTGTTATGGAGAGTTTCTAAGAGGGGGAAGAAGGGTGAGGAGGGGCTGGACAGGACTGGAATTGTGGAGAGTTGAAGTGCATAGGATAAAAAAGAAAAAGAAAAGTGAAGGTGGAGAATGGAAGGGACCAGTTACAAGTCAGCCAGGAGATTCAGAGTAGAATTAAAACAGAATTACTGTATAGTCCAGAGCACAGAAGAAAGCTTTGTTGTAAAGTGGCTTAAAAAGGGAACAAAAAAAAACAAACAAAAAAACAAAATCACCCCAAACACTCCAGAGAAACGGAGACATGACACCCGAGAGACCCCATCCTAAAAACACCTCCATTGCTAAGCGCTAACTATTAAGAAAAAGATTTGCTCTGCTTTCAGTCTTTGAAATGAGAAACAAAAGGCACAATGAATTTCAACTCGTTCTTTATCTTTAATATGCACAAGAGCTGAAAAAATTACAGATGAGCCACCTTAAAGAGTAATTCAATGCTAAAATTTATAAAAAGATACAAACAATCAGAGGCCAAAATGCGAAGTTGCTTTTTTCCGTTAGTTTTTTTTTTTCCTTTTTCTTTTCTTCAGCAAGTAAAAATCTTGCAACCAGAAATAAGCTTGTATCAATTTCTGATACAAGACAAAAAATTTTCTTAATTCTTTAAAGTGGCTCGGTTTTCTAGGTGTCTAGATCATGAGTTTTCACACCTATGCAGGCTTTTTTTTTTTGTTCGTCAACAATAAATGGCTAATTCCAAAAACGCCAGGGCTGCCATTTGTCCTCGAATCCTCGTCCTCAGTAGTCTGCAGCCAAACCACAACTACATTAGTCCCAATGTAATTTTCGTTTTTCCATACATCCCTTTACAAATAAATGCACAGGGAAAAAAAAACAAAGAATTGTCCAGTCACAACAGTTAGAAAGCCCATTTCCAACACATTTCCATTTCAATTTTTTGCCATCACAAAGTGAATGTTAAAACAAAAAAAGACAAAAGTCCCATTAATTGTGAATCAGTAACACAATGTTATTATTGTTCTCAAGTGTCCCGACAAACATCTAGCATGTGTGGCAGCTTTTCAATTTATACTTTACACAAGAAAGTATTTTTTAGTTTGTACAGTTATGTTTCGTAGCAAATAAATTCCAAGAAAAAAAAAACAAAAAACAGCTTTGCCATGGATCTCCATTTCCCATTGCTTGTGTCTAAATTAAGCGAATGTCGCTTTCCATGTATGTTTAGCCAAAAAAATAATATATGTATATATTTATATTTTTGTGTGTATATATTGGGACAACTTCAAAGTGTGCATATAAGACTGAATCAAAGCTGCAAACGTGGAAGCTCCACAAATCACAAAAAAATAAAAATAAAAATAAAAATCACAGTTCAATCATTTCTGCAAAGTTTCTCTCTGCCAATGATTTAAGCCTTAATTTGTTTTTTAACTTAGAGAAAATATATTCCCTCTGAGGAGGAGGAAAGAGAGAAAAAGATGGGCCTGGTCATGAAG